GAGTCTTTTCTTACCAGATATGATTAGCAGAATATAGGGCTATCCACTCTCTTTAGTTCTTGTTGCCTCATTCAGTTTCTATAAGCATTTATAAGCAGACTTGCTTATGCTTACTTTTGAAGTGATGTTGTCTCTCTTTCAGGAGAGGTTGCTTCACAATGGTTTTATCAGGATAGGTTCCTGCATCTTCCTTCGGTGCACATGGTGTTGATCACTCCATTTGACGTGCCACTGAACTGTGTGGACCCTTTGGTCCGTGGTGGTATTTCCTGTGAAGACTCGTACCCCAAAGCACAACCCTAATGGTTTATAAAAGTTACCTCTGCTGTATAGTCTAATGGTTTTTTCAGGATATTCTTGGTTCACATACTCCTCATAAATTTATGTTCATAAACATGATAGACGTAGACTGCCGTGACTAAATGCTGTCTTTATTCCTTGTTCTTAGGTAGCTTTTTGCAGTTACTCACATCTGGGCAGACTTGTGAATTCTGTGAATTTCCTTTACTGAATCTGGCATGAAAATTTCCCTGTAAAAATTTGGTTTATTTCTTACACAGAAAGAATGGATTACAGTCCTGAGAAAAAGTACTACCAGAGGAAAATAGCTGTAGCTCAATACATTTGTTGACAATTTCCCTGTTTTGTTTAAAAAAAATGCCAGGATTTGTTCCTACAACAGATCATGATTTTTTACAGGCACAGTACCTCGTGAGAAGAAAGTGCTTTTGTTCCTCCAAACTGGTATTTTTTAATTGTCAGCATAAATGAAAGCAAGCTGGTAAGAAACTTTTCCCAGACACAAGAATCAAGAGAACAAATATAAAGTATGCTTGTATTCAGATAAAGTATTTAAATAGGAGTGATATGGAGTAGATAGGGAACTTTTTTTGCAGGGATGCACTTGTGTTCTTCCAAAAAAAATATTTATACTGAATTATTTTAACATATGTTGAAAGGATAGCAGGTCCTTTGCATTTTGTGTGTTTAATTCCAAACCACTGAGGAGGAAAGCAATTAAAGGATTGTGCGTCTCCAAAGAAATGTGGAATTGACATTTTACTCCTAACTGGATTTCTCTTATGACTGACTATTACTAGTAGAAGGGCACCAGTTGTTCGCAGATTTTGGAGTGCTTGCTTTGCTAAGTTTGCAGTGTACAAATAGTTTATAATTGATTTTAACCATCTCTGATTCCTGTTGTAAGCAACTGTCCTGTTGACGTCTTGCACTTTGGCCTGAATTAAGCCTGAATGACTGAAACCAGACTTAGTAAAATGAAACACTCTAGAAAGCCTAAGTGTGGGACCACTTCAACCTGAATTATTGCCCAATTCTTAAGGCTTGAAAACAAAAGCCAAATATGTTTGTCAAAGTCCACCTGTCACTGCCTTAGCTTGGAAATTGCAATTTGAAGTTATTTTTTCCAAGTCTGAGGCTTGGAGGGAGGACAGCTGGACAGCTGAAAGATTTGGCCTAGATTCTTAGCAAGTTTTCCCTTTCCTCAGCCAACGTAAGTGGTGAGAATCAGCATATTTCGGTTGAATTTAGAGGTGCCTTTCTTCAAGCATTACGTGAACTGCCACATCACAGTACTCCCCCCTCTTCCTACAGTTTATTCCTGTGCGTGGAGGTAGTCAGCTCTGGCAGCTGCATTGTTTTAGAAAATAATCTACTTTAAATTCATGGTCAGGCCAGCTTTGTGTGAAGGAGTCATGTCCCAAAGAGAAGTGTGTGTTTCTCCTAAGGGTAACCACACCAGCCTTCTGTCTGTGGCCTGTTTTGGAAGAACCTCTTTTCAGTCATTCTCCAACTGCAAAGTAGATGTTTGGTGTTTCTGGTCTCCCTGCTTCCAGTTCAGCCTGCCCACCAGAAGGCAAAAGTTTGCATACGCTCTTGATGTAAATGTACAACCTAGAGAACCAAGTTCAAGCTGTACCACTTCCCATGTAGTCTAGAGGCTGAAGACTTAAGTGCTTGGGCATTTAGCATCCTTAACAAGTTTTCCATAAGCTGCAGTGCATCCCAGTAACACAGAACAGCAAGTTCTTGTTATGCTGGTTACTGTGGTTGAAAACATGGCTCCAAGTACTCCAGACTGGATGGTCTCCCATATGCCTTGGTAGTACTGAGGAGAATAATGGAACTTATTTTAACCTCTGCTGGCAAAATCACTCCCTTTCTATGCCATTTTTACAGTGGGCACCAGTGCTATTGCTGTTTTCAATCCTTGCTTTAATAATGCTAATTATCATACCCTGTGTTAGTGCAGAGGCTGCGCTTCCATAGGTATCCCACTGAAGTTTGAGCAGCATAGTTTGATTTTCCTCTGGTATAAAAGTAGCTTCTCTATTTCCTTGTTTCTCTATATAACTGATCAAAACTCAAAATCTGAAATCTGCCATATTCAATCTATTGCCCAAAAAGTAATTGTTACTGTTACTGCTAATATCTGGCAACACTGGATAGCAGTACAAACCTTAAGAAAGTAAACATGATCATGGAATTTGGAAACAACTGTCTTCATGATGCTGTTACTTAAAAACTCTTACCCATCCACAGTATTATTGAGGAAGGATCAATTAGCTATCCGGTTGATAGTTTAGGATTTCTGGCTGTCAGGAATAGACTGACCTGATACAAACTCTTCTGTTGGGAACTGTAGTTCTCCTCTGGCAAAGATTTGTTTGGCTAATCTACCAGGAAGAATCAGGTGTGATTCCTACACAAACCCATGAGTCAAGTTCAGCAGTCATTCCAGCAGTAAGGTGTAAGTGCAGTAAGGTATAAGGACACCCAATATTCTCAAAGGAATATTCAGCCTTTACTTGAAGGGGTTTTCAGAGGGAGTGTAGCCAGTCAAGACAGTTACTTGAACTATTACTTAACAATATACTGCATCCAAAAATGGTGCATCCTTTTGTAAACTCATTATACTGATGCAAATTTAACATTACATCGTCACTTCTATTTCCTGACCCTGTTGCATATAATATGAAATTTTACAATCAGAAGATTCAGCTCTCCCTTTTGTAAAAAGACCATGGGAATGAGTTAGGTTATTTGATATAAGAGAAGAAACACTGCTTTCTGAATTGGGCTGTCTTTATTAGGTTGGATCTGAATACATTAAAGTTTTGCCCACGTTTGGGTCCACACCTGAGCTTTACAGCTGGACTTGATGAGGTAATTCAAATACTGGATAAGTGAACATAGTGCCCCTTGTGATTCCCTGTTTTTACAGCTGGGGAAGCAGATGTTATAGATAGTGTTACTTGAGTGGTTATTCTTCTCGTTTTTGCAATATAATCTTATTTCTAGTAAGTACCGGGCCTAGGAACTTAAGTACTGCCCCAAAATTCAGAGATCAAAGCATAATGAAATGTCAAATTCCCTTTTATTTTTACCTTCTGAAAACTGCACCTTGAATCTATTTCATGGTAAGGAAAGAACCCTAATATTTCAAGTTTTAGTGCACAGAGAGAATCACAAATTGAGCTGTTCCCCAGATCAGTGGAACTAAATCAAAACATCGTAAATAGACTCTACCACTACCTCACCCACTACAAATTCAGAATCATATCCCAAGCATGATGTGATAACAGAAAATGCATAGAAACACTTTAAATCATAAAAGAGCAAAGCAAGAATATAGGAATTGTATTTTGCTTTACAAAGGCTTAAGCACAAGAAAATTATAAAGAAAACCTTTTTTTAAATGCTGTTCATGTGAAAGTTCTGTAATAATGCAGTTCTTTGAAGATGCTGAATGTATAACTTCTTACAGTTCACTTCAAAGTCAGGTTCTTTGACTACATGCATATATAGCCTTTTGCTATAAATGATCTCTCTTTCCATTTGAGTTATGAACACATCGAGTATTGTCTTTGTAAGGGCAGTAGATTTCCTAGCTGTCATTACTTGCCATTGTAGTGAGTTCCTTTGTACTCAACCCCCCTTACTGTTTTCAAAGCACTGCACTTAGTTTACCCAAACCTCTGCCAACTGTTTGTGTATCACTACTGTTCTTTCACTGTGCTGTCTTCAGAGGAGAAATAGCAGCCACAAATGTTTCAGAGCTATGAACACAGACCTCAGGATCCCTACTGTAACCAGGTGTGGTGTTAACACACGCTATGTTATTTATGGTAACTGCGGTGTCCTTTTGTTTCTACAGGGTAGGACTTGCTGCTCAGCAGGTGTGTGCCCTGATATCCTTCCATTCTCAACACAGAAATATTAATTGATTATTCAGATTAATTCAACAGCTGGTTCAATTAGCCTGATGCCCACCCTTCTTTCTTTATCCTAATCAAATCCCATTTTCCCCTGGAGGTCCATACTGCAATTACTTATACACAGATTGATATCTTCATTTTATAGTTCAGTTGTTAATTTATATACCTTTTAGGTTTTTATTCCAAGTGTTTGATTTGAGTGTGCCTTTGCCTGTTTTGGCCCATATTGCAGAATGCTCTTTTGCTTAGGAATTAGAAAAAGTCCATCTTTCTACAACTGTGGCGCTCTCCTCCCTGCTTGGTGCTTCGTCTCACTTCATTGAACTATTGAAGCAGCTGAGCAAACAGAGGCCTGCTCTGAGGTATTTTGCAAGTGGAGAAACAGGCCAAGTCTGTTGAACAAATGATTATTTTAAAGCCTTGAAGTCAGCTCAGTTTGGCATGCAGTTGCCTGTGTCAGAATATTGCTGTGTTTCCTTGCCCTGGCAAAGTTGGTGTAAATAAAAGTGGAGCATCAGGGAAGCTTTGTGTCTTGTCCATTTCCACATCGCTCAGTGGCAAGCATTGCATTTGTACCAGAAAAACCAAAGCTTGCAGAGGCAAGAGTCTTAATCACACAGGAATACAGATCACCGTTGCAACTGCATTTTAACCTTAGTCTTATGCTTATTTTAGAGGCTGGATGCTAAGCTATTTTACCTTCCAGAGGAAACACTCTTAGACATAGAATTTTGAATAAATAGCAGTCAAGTCCACACTTACTCATAAAATTCAGCTGCAGGAGTGAGCTTGTACTTCGAGTATTTGGTACCATTGCCAAGCACTGATGCATTGAAGAGTTTGGGATCTGTACAGTTTGGGCTGTTCCAACTGTTGTCGCAATTTGTCCAGGGGAGCTCGAATGTGAATGATGAAAATAGATAATACAGAGACCAAGCTATGATAACGTTGTAGTAGAAACCCACGTAAAGTGCTATGAGTATCACTGCATAGCCTACACCTAAAGACAAAGGAAAACTAGATTATCCATTGCATTTTACATGTAATAGTACATGCAAACACTGTAGTTAAACTCAGCCATACATGGTTGCAAATTCATTTTAGATCTTCAGACCAATAAAAGGAATTTTTGACATTCACATACACACATGTGGACACAGTGTCACTGGCCTGACCTTAAAACAAGAAATTACGTTAATGATTTTGGAAAATGACTGGTTTTTAGCAAATCAAGTTGTTTGCCAGAAAAACAAATTAAGCAGTGCAATGTCAAAATTTGCTATTGTACAACTCTGTTGTTGATTTGCTTCCAATGCAGAGGATTGCAAGCCCATGTTAGGAGTGAAACTCGTTTCATCTTCATGATGTCAGAGTCCTTGGCAATTTTTCTTGGAAAAGCAAAGCTCAAGACTTAAGTGAAGTTTTGCTATGCCTCACGCTCCCACCCTGAGCTAGTTTGGAACAGATATCGATCCCTCGCCTATTTCTTTCCCATTTTTACTCTCCAGATTGGCTTCCATCAGCTTGTCACTAGGTCCAAAACATGCAGGAAACAGTCTGTGCTGTTCCAGTGAGGGGCTCAAGTGGTTCTTGGTCATGCCAGTAAATCCTGGTGAATATCAAGCTTGGGGCTAAACTGTGTGTGGACCTTCAAACCATTTCCTTATCTCCCCAGGATTACAGAATCCCCACTGTAAGCATTCTCTTTTGACTTTGAACATTTGGTTTGTCTTTTTGCATACTACTGTGAAGTGTGCTTGGAGGGTGCCTTTAGTGAGAGAGCTCCAGAGAGTGCATGTTCTCTCCATGAAAGCGGGTATTATCCAATGGTTTGGGAGGAAGCTTTGGTACTAATGTCAGAGCAGAACAAAAGTTTGTTGCCAGAATTGTTCAGGAAACTTGCTTTACCTTGCCTTACATCATTCTTCCTCTCCTCTGTGTGTGGCGCTGTTCGCTGAATCCTACCCCCCAAGGTTGTATGTATTACATATAATGGGTACAGCTACAGCTGGTTTATGACTATCATCACTGTACTGTCACAGCACCTAAGTGTAAACCTTTATTTCTCATTTTCTTCAGGCATTGGAGGCCTAGCAGTTGGAGATTATTAGGCTTTCATATTTCTCAATAAAGCAAAGTAGCAGCACACACTTTGAGTATTAATCCTTGGTTTAAAATTTGCATAGGGAACAGATGCTGACCTTGAAGGAGTAGGCAGTTCAAAGACTGCTGCGTATATGAAAGTTACTCTTTGCTCTTCAGGAGGCTTTTAATACATAGATCAGTATGCTCATCCCTAACATTGGGGAAAAGATTGTGAAAGTAAAGATGAAACTGTATTTTCAAATCGTCAGTGCTTAAATGAATCCAGTACATGAACACTCAAACTCTAGTGATCCATTATTATCAATAGAATGGAGTGGGGGGGGCGGGAATCACCCAAGGGGATAATTCTTAAATATTAATGTTAAAATACTAAGTGCAAATAATATACGTTGCACTAAAATTGGATGATTTCTGTTTAAAGAAAGTGTTCCTGAAATGCCTCCAATTCAGGAGGACAATGACAGATATTTAATATCAAGATTAAAAAACACTGGCTGAAATGTATCTTAAATATCACTCCTCTGAAATCATAAGAATGTTCAGGAATTAATTTGCTCTCCTATTTCTAAGTCTAACTTTTCTTAAAAGTAATGCTGCACCACCCATAGTCTAAAATAGACCCTGGAAAATGCAGAGATGAAAACAGACTGTGTTGCAAAGGTTACAGGGTATATTTTTAATTGCATGCATTATGAAAGCATTTCATTAGAAGTAGAGTCCTTAGAGTTCATAGCAATAATATTCATAGCTAAAATTAGTACTATAGTGCTTTTCATTTAGAGAAGCTGTCACAAATTTGTGTAGACAGTGTACTTTTCCATTTGAGTGAGAGATTTGAGTTATCCCAGAAACAACTCAAGAGCATTAGCAGTAAAATGTGTTTGTATGTTACTAGAAGAACTGGTCAAAACTTTAAAAGTACTGAGTTTATACTAGTGCTGAGGTGCAAATACAACTCAATGCTTATTACTTTTTGAGAATCAAATAACTTATGCTATTCTATATCCTAGTAATAAGAACACTTAAAAATCAACAGTAACGTATCTTTAGTCCACCTTGAAAATGTCAGCTTAAAAACACAGCTGGAATGTCAACAAGACTATACACGAAGTAAGTTCTGTTTTCCTTTCTCATCAGTCTTTTCAGTCCTGAAGTCAACAGATAGAGTACCTCTGAGCACAGTGGTATTTGGCTCAAACACTTTGAGATCCTTAAGGTCTAAATTTGCAGTTAGGTTTGCAAAATCCTCATTGCCATCCAAAGGTATTAACTGATACTGGCAGGAATTTTGATTGAGCAAGGGTCTTCAGGTTCCCAGGTGCTGGGATGAATTTTGTCTCCCATGAATGGGAGAAGAGCTAGGTAAATCTATATGAATTAATTTTAAAATTTTGGGGCACATATTTTATTAGCTTGCTTATTTATTTTTTATTGTATCTCTAATTTTGCTGTGAGTTTTGGGTTTGATTGATAAGAAAAAACCCTGTAGTTTTCCTATTCTGTGGCACTAGCCTCCTTTAAGAGGCAAGCTGTATTTTGAGAAAGACAACTAACATTTACTCAGTGTAACCTATATCCAAGCACTGGATCCGCCAAGTTTGGATTGCTATTGTTAAGCTCCTCAGCTTTTGTCAGTCATGGGATGAACATGATCTGAATTTTAAGCTTCTAAGATCAGCTGAGCTTGAGTGGTTTCATTTCAGATAGCTCTGTGTTGGAAGGACTTTTACAGAAGATTTTTAGATATAATCTGGTATAGATATAAAGGAACTTGTAATTTTTGCTGGTAAGCAATGCTTAAGAAAATTCTTGGGGCTCCTTAAGAAATACTTGTTTCATGTACAGAAAGCACATGGCTTCTTTCACCCGGGGAAATCCCTTTATCCCTGATCAATGCCAAACACCCTGATCAGTATCCAAATACCTAACCCCGGCTATTTCTTCCTTGCGGAATGATTGCAACTCAGTGCACAAGAGAACGCTCCACAGCCTGTTATTCAGTGACACTGGAGAGTTAACCCTAGTGGAAAACACTCAATAGTAATAATAATGATCAGATTGTAATAAGCGCTTTTCATTGCTACGTTTGAAAACCACTTTACAAAGTCTATCAGAATCATTGCTCCAATTTCACAGGCAGGAAAACCGAGGTACAGAGCCACAGATAACTCGTGATGTTACAAATCTAGTGGTTGAACTACAGTCTTCACAACTCCCTTTTAGTGTTCTGGCCACTGTGGTATGCTGACTTTTGCAGAGAAAGCTCCACACAATGAACTGAATGGAGTCAGTGGGTCTGTTAAGTCACTGGGGGAGACAGGGCTGAACTGACCTGGATGGGATTTGGTATTTCTAAATATTTGCATTGCCAGCCTCTCCCTCCACCTAGAGATAGCCAGTTCTCCCCACTCTCAATATGCAGGAGAAAGGGAGGATGGGGCTGAACTGCCCGTGCTCATTGCTCTCTGCTGCGCTCCTCAGCAATAACCCTGAAGATGATTTCTGTGGCTTTTACCATTTTGTGCTCCACCTGTGATAACAAAAAGGCTTCTGACTTCAAGGGTTGGGGAAAGGTCAGCAAATATCATGCTGTCTGTGGAAAGATGAGAGACCTTTACTTTGTGATCACAAGTGTGTGGCACCCTCATGGAGCTATTTAAGTGATGCTATTTAAGTGAGCAGAGGGACACTTACCTTTGAAAACTGGACAGATTTTCCACACAGTGGCAGCCCCTTCTCGGTTATACTGTCCCAGTGCTAATTCCATATAGAACAGGGGCATTCCAGCAATGATTAGGAAGAGGATATAGGGAATAAGAAAAGCACCTGGAAAGAGAATAATTAGACATTGTAGTCTAAGTTTTGGTTACATTTTGCTTTCTCTATTGCTTGCTTTTACTGGTAAAGACAAAGCCACTGCCTCTGGGAAGTAGAAAGGAAATACCAGGAAGGAAGAACCCATGTTCTTTTGTCCCTTTCCTGTATTTTTTTTTAAGGTCTCAGAGACAGAACCCCTGAAAAAAAGCTGTAGAGAATGGCTCCTATTTCCCCCTAATGTTCCTCCTCTGCTTTTTGGCTTCAAAGGGAAAAAAATGTATCCCTGAAAATTAATCCCGAACTGAAAAAAAAATGATGCCACACACGCTTGCAGAGCTAAAAAGGAAAGGGACTATGAAAAATTTTGTTAATTTTTTTTTTAGTGTAGTATGTTCAAAAGGGAGCATGGAGGCCAGCAACAGAAGAAAAAAAAAGTCGTGCAAGTTCCTGTAAGTGCAGTTTAAATCATATTGTGTAAGGTGTCTGCAGGAACCTCTGGCTTGAAAATGAATCACTGTTGGTCAGTCATGCGGAATTTGGGCTTCCATGGCGTATTTTGGTTTTTGCTGTAAATAAATTCCCTTATTCTTATGAAATGTGTCAGACAACACACCCTTCTCCAACCTAGCGATACTGATCGCCATTAATGTGGAGCATGTACTAGGATTGGTCTGGTTTCACTGCTGGGCCCACATACAGCGTCTTTATATTCCAGCAGGACAGCGCTGAGGCTGCTTGCACCTTCCTGGAATACGTAACTTTACTTGACTGAGGATTTTCCCGTGAGTTCATACCACAGAAACTCACCTCTGGAAAAATGCTGATGTGTTAGCGCTACTATCATAAAAAATATTTCCAACTGAAATACAAAGGGATCATCTAATGTAGAAACTATCTAAATGTCTTAGCTATTTTATATGATCCACAACACAGAAAGAAGACTCCCCCAATGCATGGCTACATATGATACTATAAACCAATTATAGTTTGTGCCATGTTTAATAACTGGATGCTCTGTCAGTCCTCTGCTTTGTGGTACCTGTAAAGTGTTGTTTCTATTTTACTGCATAGTTTAGTTGGTCCAGAACAGTTCAATTTATGTAAAATTTGTATAAAAGAATGATTAGATTGTTTTGATAAATAAGGAGCTGGCAGAGTGACTACATATTCTGAATGACTGCTCTCCTTAGGAGTTGCCTATTAAAAAGGAACTAGATTGTGAAGATCATGGTTAAATTGTTCAGCAAAAGAAAAAAGAAAACCAGCAGCAGCTGTCTGTTTCTCCCAATAGCCAGTAGTAAGAACTTTTGCAAACCTTTAAAATCTGCTGTACTGGTTTAGTAATTTGAAAACTTCCCTTGCAGAAGGAAGTAAGTTTGCACTGCTTCTAAATATATAAACTTACAGAAGGTATGTGTAGTCTATAAAAGCATGTGTAGCTATCTAAAACATGCCAGTAAGCAGAGTGACCTGTGTGCTTAAAAAGTACTTCTGAAAGTAATGTTGTGCTTTTAAAAGTCTGAATAGTTGTTGCTCCTTTACTTTTCATGTTCGCTTTCCACAGATATTACTAGTCTGAGCTGCCTAGCATGATTGTTCAGAGAGGGAATTTTGAGTATATACTGGAGAATAAGAATGGAAAACCAAACTCTGTTCTCTTAGTCATACCACAAATCTACTTCTAAAAGTAACGTGCTGTAACATAATGGTAAGGGCAATGTATTGAGCATTCAGTTGTAGGTTTAGGCATTTGAAAGTTGAAATCTTGCAATGAAACAGAGAGACAAGGTGTATCAACAGAAATAAAGAATAGCTTAAAGCTTTGAGAATGTATCCTAAAAGCTGAAATATATTGGTTGTATCACTTTGGGGGAAAAAATCTTCTTATTCATGATGTTTATATGGGGTGTAGTGTGAATGCAACCTGCATTCACATAAGCTACTACAGTACCAGTGATACATGTTTTAATAATATTTCAGTGTTGTTCATAAGCTGCTTTCTATGATCGTCATGTTGAACTGTCATATATTTGAATATTGTAAGGAAAAAAATATTTGTGTTCAGCAAATACTTGATACCCTGCAGTTCTGAGCTCTGTTCAATGTTGAAATATGCTCAGCTAAATCAATCTGGGCTACTACATATTGCTTTCACTATATCTAGCATCTAGAAAAATTATTTTAGGTGTTTTTACTGTCAGATCTCTTGTAAGTGACAGCCTTTGAAGTGCCATACTTGTCTTGCTTCAATAATATTACAGTGTGTGGAGCTGACTCACAAACCTGGCTTGTATTCGGGAGCTGTGCAGTTTGCGCAGAGTGCTGTTTGATTAACTTTAATGTCAAGACACTGTGGAAAACATGATGCCACAAGTTGAATAGGGAGATTTGTGTCTGAGAAAATTAATCCTGGAGATGTGTAGTGGACATACATATTAAATGCTAGTTTAAAATACGTATTTTCGAAGTATGACTAATAACATGATGAACTGTGAAGTGTACTGTACTTAGGCATACTTGCTTAAGCGTCATCTGTTTGGCTGCGAGTCATTCCAGGCTTTAGTTAAAGGAGGTTTCTTTCTTTTTTTTCTTCCCCCATCCTGCCCCCGCAAGGGATTAATAAGGTGTGGTGTAATTTTCAGCAAAGAGCAGTTACACAGTGTGGCAGGGTTTCATAGCTGGGTTACTTTTCAGGTAACTAAATGATTGAAGTATTTTGAAATTGAGATAGTTATCAAAGTAAGGGTGCTTAGTCACATCAAGTTGACTTAATGTTTTGGAGACTTCTGGGAAGTTCTTTTGTAGCAGCTTCTGATTAGGTAAAAAATACTAAAAAGTCAGGTGTTTTGTAAATATCTTGACATTTGCTCTTCTCTTCCTAGCCAATATCCAGATTCAAACTTCATGGTGTTCACTGAACCCTTTTGAGATCATGGGCACTTGAGCAGAAAATAAATGATGGTCAAAGTATCATTCAAATTGCTGCAAGCTAGAATGGTGTGCAAATGCTTATAAACAGCATATGTGTGATATATGATCAACCTCACTCTGAGATTGCGTGGGGGCTCCATCATAGGACTGGTTTGTGCACAGTATCTTATGAACAAGAGGCGTTGTTTGGAAGGAGACTTCATACCATCCTGCGTGTGTGGGATTCTAACATCCTGTGGGCCAGGGAGGAGGCAAACCAGCATCCAGGTGGGCCTCTTGCTTTAGGTCCACTCGTGTGAATTTGAGCATCATATCAGACTTCTCTGAAGGAGCAGCCTCGCTGGTAATGCCTACCTGGTCTATGAAGTCAGAATGTGTTAGGAAGAGCAACATGATGCCAGCTGTGCCACTCCTGCCTGTGCCACTGGCCACAGAAACTGCTGTGCTTGAATTGCGTGAATCCAAGGGGCCAGTCAGATTTTGTATAGCCCAGACAGCTGAACTCTTAGGGAGCGCACAGTTTGGCTAACACTTCAGCCTAGCTTGCCAAGATCTACCTACCTCAGAGAGCTGAGGGAATGCAATCTGTGGGATTGCTCCATTGGCAGTAACATACTAATAGCACTCGAGGGGATTCCACTCCCCCACTGTGCAATGGGATGGGGCTGAGCTCACAGCTGCATCCCACAAGGCAATACTGGTCTCAGCAATCCCTAATGGTTCCTAATTTCCCTTTACAGCTAAAAATCTGAAGCAATTAACATCTGTAATACAGCCCTGGCATAAGAGCCATACTCGACTTGCTACTGGGTCACGTGCAGCTCAAAAGCCACAGGTTGGCCTTAGACTGTTGCGAATGCCTACGTCTCTCTGTTAACAGATTTCATGAGATCCATATACATGCCTCAGGGCACCAGTGTATACATGCAGTTAAGACAGCCTTGTGGCTTACGCAAAACTAGATTAGGTCAAACCCTCAGCTTCTACAAGAACCATCTGTGTGAAACTTCAAGTGGAAACTTAGAAGTTTTTAAAAAAAACTATAACATTTAATTAATGGAGGACAAAATACAAGACAGGCTTTGCATTCCTGTGCTCAGTGCCAAAACAACTTCTTAATTTTGGTATAACAGAATCCATGCTTTAAAGATCCCTCAGTTCTTCAGCGTTCACAGCATCCTAGGGGGGTGGGAAGCAAAGCGGAATACAGCCCTAAATACTCCTCTCAATCCTACAGGGAGGTCTCATCTTGCTTTTAAATAACAGAAAGAAAGGAGCATTAATTTACTAATGACTGAAAAAAGATCATTTAAACAGCTGCTGTTATCCTAAAAGGATTTGTTGATGCACATGCAAGAAGCAGGCCAGGACAGGGGTAGTTGAAACAACTTTGAACTATTTGTGCTCCTTAGCCTTCTGCGTTTGTTGCCATGGTTATTCTAGTCAAAATGTTAACTGGCTGGGATGTCTGCTAAAACAACAAACTTTGAGCAAATACTGCAGTATATTTTCAGATAGGAGTGTTCCCAGTATTTGTGTAGGAAAAGAGTCTAAAAACAAAGATCTCCCATTTGGTGAATTGAAATAGAAGCTAATCTCTGTATCTAATCAACACTGCTTGTTTTTTTTTCATACAGAATAATTAGTACTTCAAACAGTATCAGCAAACAGTTGATACAATGCGGTACGTTTGCTGGGACAACGAGGAAAATGAGCGGAAACGCTAATCTGTGCAGGCTCTTGGGAATGAAAAAGGAAGTCCCCGATGCAGAGATCTTGAAAATTAGATTGTACAAGATCACCACAGGTAGAAAAACTAGGTAATCGGAAAGGCAGGCATTTCGTAGTACATGAACATTAGTTCTGACTCGTCAGCAGACTAGCTACCAGCTGGCTTGCACAGCCACTGAGAGCACCTCTGAAGGAGGCACACTGCTGCTGACTCCTGGGAAGAAGGGGCGGAAGGGTAGATCTTCACTGACCTGAGATTAAAAGCAATAAGGGTTTGCATGGTACAGCAAAGAGAAGTCAGAGATACAAAGGAACATGATGTAACCTCAGTGTCAAAGCCAAGATGA